CCTTCCCTGTCAGGGGCCTGAGGACTTTCCTGGCCCTCGAGTGAGTGGTGAGTGGACTCTTATTAAATCTTGGTGCGTGGACTGACATGGTCTGGTGAGATGTGGCTGCTCCCCGGGCCCATCCGCGGGCAGGGGTCACGCATCCCCAGACCTGGGAGATGGCTCCCATGTGGCTGCAGCCTCCCTGAAGCCCCTTCCCCTCTCTGGGCCTGAGGTCACTCCTCCAGGAGACACAGGGTGGTTGGGCTGGTGCTGGGGTTTGGGCCTGTCACAGAGGAGGTGGGGACAATGCCACACCCCAGCGGGGAGAAGGCTTGTAGGGGCTTGGTGGGGGAGGGGGGCAGGCCTCCAGCGGGGGAAGGGAGAAAGAAGAGGCCAGCCTCAGAGCACAGGGCCCCTGGCTGAGGGGGTGGGGATGGGCAGGAGGGCAGAGGGCAGCTGGTGCTCACCCCTCCAGGGCCCCCTGAGCTGCTCCCCAGAGGGTTTTGGGTGACTTAGAAGGGCCCTTGCCCTGACGTCCTGGTCCTGCCAGCATCTGGCTGCTGGTGGTAGGGGGGCAGGGGGATCTGGTCGCGCCTTGTACCCCTGGCCTGGCCCAGCACCGCTCACTCGTGCTCCCTCCCTGGCCCCTCCCACACTCCCTCCTACCCCAGGAAGACCCAGGGCCGCCTGCAGCCCCCTTTGCTGCCCAGCCTGGGCCCCTCTCTCCTCCCCAGCAGCCCCCCTCCCGCCCTCCTGCCGTCATTCCTGGCAGGCGCTGCAGTGAGCTCACTTGTTACATAAAGCATGTGAGCTATTCCCCCCACATGGGCTCCATTTCCCCTCTCCCTCTCCAACCACCAACCACCACACGCCCAGGGGGTCTGGGCATGCTCCCAGGGCCCCCACCCAGGCCCCGGCCCTGCAGAGGGAGAAGCTGCCCCCCACCCAGGTCCCAGGCCCCCACCCCAAGAAAGAACAAGAGTGTCTGTGGAAGAGAAGAGACTGCAGCTCGTAGCAGACACCCCAGGGAGTGGGCACCCTGGGGGACAGCAGGCAGAGACCCAACCCCAGCCTGGCCTCAGGCATGAAGGAAGGAAGGCAGAGATCCCCGAGGCCACACTGGCGACTGTTGCTGACAGTCACAGCCGGGGATAGGCGTGGCTTTCTTCTCTCGGATTGGGGGGGTCTTCCTTGTTAGCAGCCCCCCCCCCCCGCCCAGTGCTCTTGGCTCCTTTGAGGGCACCTCGTCATCCGAGGGCCCCGAGCTCGAGGACTTATGCTCTTTGGAGGGGCAGCAGTCACATTTCACTTTGGTCATAACAGAGGAGAGGACAGTGTGGCTTCTGGAGGGAGGCACCCTCCCCAAAGCAGCAGGGGGTCCTCCCGAGACCCCCACAAGGGGAGAGGGGCCCTAGGACCTCCCATCTTATTCTTGTGGCCTGGAACTGAGGACATATGGACCTCCAGAGGATGCAGCTGAAGGAACGTGCAGACAGCATATGCTGGGCATTTCAGGGGCCTGGAGAGGAGTAGGGCGGTCACTTCCCGGCCTGGAAGGAAAGTCCCTGGGGAGCAGTGGGGGGCCCAAGGGGCTGGGGGCCATCGTTTCAAGATGTTCTCAGGAGAGGAGCACAGGGCAGGAACCGAGTGGAGGCCCAGGCAGCAAGCGTTCGGCTCTGTGCCCCTTCCCCCTGCCCCCCAGCTGGAGGCTCGAGGCCACCATGGGCCTGGACGGACCTGGCGGCCGCTGCGACCTCCCACCCCAGGAGGAACATCGGGAGGGACCTCAGGAGGGAGCTCTCCCTCCTCCTCTCCAGCCCCACCTAAAGGAAGCCCAAGAGCTGGGGCTTCCAGACGTCTCCTGCTGGGAGCCTGTCACGATAGCCACACCCTGCTTGGGGACAAAGCTCCCAGCCCGCCGGCTGCAGGGACACGGGAACCTCATGCCAGCGTGGGGCAGCAGAGCCGGAAACCCCGCAGCCCCTCCCGCCGGACTCCCAGCCCAGCCTATGTCCCCGCCAGAAACAAGCCCGTGCTTTCCTTCTTTTCAGAGACTCGGTTCTTGGAACTTACACCCTCTTGGGTTTGCTATTTTTACCCACCCTGAGCCTTCCGGTCTCCATGGCGACACCTCCAAACAGCAGATTCCAGGCAGCAATGACGTCACCTTTCCCTTTCCTGCCGCCCAGGCCTGGAGGTGCTGCTGCCCTGGGCTCCTGCTCGGGCCTTCCAGCGCCCCAAGCCAGACCCCAGGGCCTGCGGGCCACAGCTGGCCTCTCCTCTCCGCAGGCCCTGCGCTCCGGGCCTTCAGCAGGCAGCGTCCTGCTTGCCCTGCCCCTGAGAGTGGCTGTGCTGCAGCCCCGAGCGGAGGGCCCGGGCCCAGGAGCTGCCCTCCCTTCCCTGGGATCCGGGCCATGCTGGCTGTCCCGCGAGCTGCTGCAGGCCCTAACGGACGGCCAGGTGGGGAGGCAGGGGCGGGCCGGTGCGGGCAGCAGCCTGTCTGGCCTGGGAAGCCCTTATGGCCCCCGTATCAGAACTGGGGACTGTAGCAGGGGCTCGAAAAGGCTGCAGGAGTGCCAGGAGGGCTGTGGCCCAGGCTAAGTGCCCGCCACGGTGCCCGTGGCATCTGGACCCTTGGGTAAGGCTGTTGGACACTCAGGCCAGGGCTGCTGCGCTGCTCGGCGGTAGCCACGTCCAGGCTTACTCTAGGCGGCATCCTCCACATCTCAGTTCTGATCAGGCAGCTCTGGCCCCAGGTCTCCAGCAGTGGGTCACCAGCCTGTGTCTCTGGCTAGGCCACACTACTCAGCTGTCCTTGTAACGCCCAACCTGAGCTTTGCCCTCAGCCCGAACCAAGGGGTCGAACACTCAAGGCTGGAGGGCCACTTCTGGCTGGGGGGATGGGAGGGTGGGCTACCTGCACCCGGGGTCCCCCCTCTTGGAGAAGCACCCCACCCGGGGTGCTGTGCCCGATAGGCTGAGAAGTCTCCGCAGTGCCTCCTAGGGCAGGCGAGTGCTGCTTGGAGATCTCCACCCCCACCTCACCCATGCCCCACCCCCCCATACCCCATCAGAAGGAGCTTTCCCATGTGGCTGAGGCCCCTGGGCTTGCAGGGGCCTGCCACCCTGCTTGTGGGATGTTGGGGTCCCTTCCCTAAGCAGGGCCTGCCCCTCCCCACCAGCACGTGACTACATAAACTCCAGCCCCACCCCCACTGCCTTAGCCTGAGAGCAGGTACTGGGTCTGGGGTCGAAGGGGAGGGAAGCCAGCAGGGCTGGGGGCTCTGGGGGGCTGGAGGGCTGGTGCTGGCCAGATCCAGGGTCAGGGCCACACTCCGTCCTGCCAGCATCCAGAGGGCAAAGACGACGCTTAGCAGGGGTCTTGGCCCTGAAGTCTCTGCCCCCCGCGAGGACATTGAGAGGTGGTGTGAGCCTCACATTCCTGCTGGGTGTCAGGTACGAAGTCCCAACTCGCCTCCGTCTGACACGGGCAGGCACACCCGCAGGTCTGGGCACGAGGCAGGCAGGTGGGCGGCCCCGTCTCCATCCAGAACCCCACACAGACACGTTCACAAAAGGTGCGCAGAAAACGCACCGGGGCTGGCACAGGTGGGCCTTTCCAGCGGCCCCACCTCCAGGAGCCTCCCTGTGCCAAGGCTGTATCTCCGGGGCGGGTGCTGGAGGGGACCCTGGGGCTGCGCTGCCCCTGAGTGCAGGTGGCTCTAGCAGGGAGGTGACATGGCTTGTCCAATTAAGCACCTACTGTGACAAGATCCACCTGGACAGAAGGCAGGAGGGTGGCCACCAGGTCTGGCATTTCATTACCCACAGGCAGCTGTGCCCAGCCTTTGTGGGCCTTGGGTCTCTGCCCTTGTCCCTCGGGCTACTCATATGGGGCCCCTGCCCCTTCCTCCCGACCCTTTGGGCCCCCACAGGAGGCCCCTGGTCTGAGCTCTGCCCAGCTGGGATCCAGGTGGGGGCTTGGGGCTCTGGGCTGAGGGGCAGTGAGTGTCCCTGAGTGGTACCCCACGCCTGGCATGAGTAGAATTGATTTCCTCCACCAAGTTGCTCGAGGGCCCCCCTGCGCCCAGCAGAAGTGAGCAGAAAGCATTCCTGTTCTTGAATGTTTGCAGGTTCACGGGAGACGGTAAAAACATACACTTCCCTAGGTTCTGTATCAGGTGGGGGCACATGCCGTCAGGGAGCGTGGGCCAGGGAGAGTGGGGGGGGGCTCCCTCCCAGGTCTGTTTCAGCAGAGCCCTGGGATGGGTCACAGCATAGCATCCTGGGCGGGGAGCAGCGGAGGCAAAGGCCCAGGCAGGAGCCTCCTGGGTCTCAGGGAGTGGGGAGCAGTTAGTGAGAAGCAGGGAGAAGTGGGTGGTGGTGGCGTCCCCAAAGCGGTTAGGGAAGTCCAGCAAACAGCACCTCTGTACCTCTACTCCCATGCTGGGAAAACTGGGAGCCAAACAAGAGGGATCGAGTTGAAACAGATGAGGCTATTTTTCTGAACACTTTGTTCCCGGCCCAGCCCCCAGCCTGGCATAGGGCTGGAGTGACTGGCCGAGCGGAGGGCCCTCGCCTGGCCTAGCCCAAGCCCCTCTCTGTCCCCTGGGTGGCCTCTCCCTGCCTTGCCCAGGGACCTGCTACCCACTCTCCTGCCCACTCTGGCCACAGCTTGGGGGGTTAAGTAAACAGGCTGCTTCAGAGGGCGGGGCCGGAGCTGGCAGGACGGGTACAGGGCACAGGCTGCTCGCCTGCTACCCAGCCCCATGCCCAGCAGCCCCACAGATGCCGCAGGGAGGGCTCCCGCGGCCGAGACCTGGCATTGGCCTGACCCAACGCCTTCCACAGACCAGCCCACCCCCAGGCCAAGCGCTGCCCAGCGGGCCCTCGTCCCCATGAGTAATATTTAACTTGGAAGTGCTGACGGACAACTGCAGGGGAGAAGTTAAGAACAGGTTTGGATTGCAAGCTGCCTGCCAGGGAGGGGGTAGAGTGAGGGAGGGCAAAGTTGAGAGGAAGAAAGGAGGGTGGGAGGCGGGCCTGAGGGACCAGCACTCCAGGGAGGCAGAGCTCCAGGACTGCTAGGACCCGGACCTCAGCGCTGTGGTCCCACGAGCCAGGCCCTGAGCCCCCGAGAAACCACAGGACCACCTCTCCCAGAGAGCAAGACGCCAAATGGCAGGTGACACACTGAGCATGTATGTGGCTGAGCTCCTCAAGCCTCAGTTTCCCATGTGGGAACCACTGGGGCCAGGGGGATCGTTGGGGCAGGGAACACAGGACACGGGCATGTGCATGTGCCCACACACCCATATCACATGCACACACACCCATACACACGAGCATACACACACACACATCACACATCACATGAACACACAACCCATGTGCAAACACACACACAGAGCACACAATTGTGAGCAGGAGGGCCAGCCTGCAGCTCCGAGGCTTTGACACAAGGATCGAAGAACCCGGGAGGCGGAAGCAGAAAAGAGGCTCCATTTCAGGGCTGGGGGAGGGCAGGACGCGGCCAGGACGGGCTGCGGCCAAATGGAGGTCTGCGCTGGCCAGGCTGACCACCAGGGCCCTGCCCGGTGTGCTGCCATCCGCTGTGAGAAGCACAGGGTCTGCGTCGACTGCCCCCGGGGACCCTGTGCTATAGGGCGTCGTGGCTCAGCTTAGCACAGGTCAATCCCCACTGTGTCCACAAGTGCTGGGCAGTGGGGACGAGGGGGGCTGGGACCCACCCCAGCTGTCACCCGCCTGCACCCTCCAATGCCTAGGCATGCTGGGCAGTCAGGAGGCCCCGAGACTACGGTCCTCAGAGAAGGCATCTGTGGCCACAGGGCCGAACCTGAAGCCCTGGGCAGACCCGGATCTCAGCAGCGTCCTTCCTGCACACTCAGCCGGTGGCTTCTTCCTTCTGCTCCTCAGCCGTGCGGCCAGCTGCTCTCGTCGTGTGGGGAAGACCGGCGCTATATGGGAGGACTGACCGTGCCAGGGCTCGCCCCAGCAGGGTACAGCTCTCTCAACGGAGGTTCAGGACGGCCGTATTAGTGCAACTGCTTTCAGGGTCTTCTGCAGCCACGGATGGGGCAGGAGCTGGGCACAGGTTCGTGACGCTGGCAGAACGAGCACCTAGGTCTGGGGACACCAGAGGGGTACCAGCCACACTCGCTCGCTGCTCGTCAGCAGACCACGGGCAGTTGAGGGGGTGGGTGTGGGCTTGGGAAAACTGAGCAGAGAGGGCCTGGGTGCGCTGAGGGTGGGACAGTCATCTCCCTAGGGGTCCAGGATGGGCGGGGTGGGCCTCACCTCTGCCCGGCCTTGGGCTGGGTCCCCAGGCCAGAGAAGCTGCCCCACGGCTACGAGCACCCAGCATTGCCCTCACTCCCTGACCCCGAGCCCCTTGCATAGGCCACTCGGTGCCACTCAGTGAGCAAGGCCACCGGCCCAGGCAGGAGACCTGGGATCGAGTCCCAGCTCAGCACCCAGTGCCACATGGCCTACGACTTGGGGACATGGCCCTGGGCCTCAGCCGGCCCATCAGTAAATGGGGTGGAGGAGTACAGCTCCACTGCTGGGCTGGATGCCCATGAACAGGCTGGTGCCCTGGAAGTGGGCACACGTCGTGAGTCCCCTTGCCTAGCACTGGGGTTGCCCCCATGGCAGGGTGTAGGGGGAGCAGCTCCAAGCAGGCGGGCCCAGCAGCCAGCCCAGCCCAGGGGCTCCCACCTGCTCAGACCCTGACACAGCCTCACAGTCAGCATCCTGATTGGTTCTGAGAAACGGGCACCTGTCCCCGCCTCCACCCAGCCTGGCAGGGCCTTGGGGGCATCGGCCAGCCCCAGAGCTGGGAGATAAGGGGCTGCTCTGGCCTCAGCTGCCTGCCCTGCCCTCCCAGAAGGGGTGCACGGTCAGCACCAGCTGGTCACGAGAAGGACCGTGCTGGGTTCCAATAAGGGTGACCCACGGGTGTGGTGGCTGCCAGGGCCTCCAGCTCAGCTGGTTTGGTCTGGGCGGGGTGGCCTGACCAGCACTGTACAGTACGAGTTTGGCCACAGAGAAGCCACGCCTTCCCTGGGGAGACGGAGGGGGTGGTGTGAAAGCAGAGAGGCCACTGGGCTGTCCCAGCGCCTGCGACCACCACGGCAGATCAGCGGGTGGGTCCTCCCCGGCTCCAACTTGGGCTCATTAATACCATGGAGCGGGGGTGGGTGCCACTGTCCTGGCAGGCGGGCAGCCCATCCTGTGGCTGTACTACGGAGAGCGACCCCACGAGTCACGTGTCCCTGCTGCCCAGTCGCCGCTCTGTCCACAGCCCCCTCCCCAGCCCCCCCACCTCCCTCACCTCTGGGGTTCTCTCCAACGTCCTGCTATTCCTCCTCCTCACCCCCTTTCCCTTCTGAAGGGCCAGATGGCCTAAAGGTGCCTCAGGGACCGCGAGAGGAGAGGCCAGGTCTGTCCCTGGGCTGCTGCCCCAGCCAGGCCCCTCCCTCCTGCCAGCATCCGGAGGCCTGCAGAGTGGCCCGAGGGGGAGGAGGGCAGAGCAGAGGCAGCAGGAGGGCACAGGCTGGTCTCAGTGGTCCAGGAGGCTCGGTCAGCTGTCTGAGTGCAGCCCCCCAGCCTGTCCTGATTCCAGCCGCATCTTGGCCCCACCTTGGGCTGCAGGCGGCTGTGACGCCAGTTAGATTCTGCAGCGCAGCAGGTCACTGCTCCCACTGGCCAGACAGAGCCCTGCAGGCTTCAAAGGGGACCCTCGGGACCCTGGGCTGCTCTCTGGCCTGAGGCTGGGCGTGGTTTTCCAGGCCGCTCAGAGAATTGAAGCAGAAGCAGCCCAGTGTCCACCTCTGAGGCCCAGGCCCCAGGGCAGTGGGAGTGGGTGGGGCCCAAGGGGTCTCTGGGCAGAGGGACGCCTGGCCCCCCCTGCCCCCCGGGCCACACAACAGACAGTTATGCCCTGACCTGCTGCCCACCCCAAACCTGGCAAGTGGAAGGGGGAGACCTCCTGCCAGGAGCTGGTGTCCCTCACTGTGTCACAGGCAGATGACCCCATGACCCCTGGTTGCTGCTGGGTCCTCTGGTGCCTGGGCAGAGCCCAGTAGGACTCAGAGGCAGATCCTAAGAGCTCCCATCACAAGGAGAAAACTTTTTTCCTTTTTATTGTATCTGTGTGAGAAGATGGATATTAGCTAAACCTACCGTGGTCATCATTCAGCATATACGTGAATCAAATCATCGTGCTGGACGCCTTAAACATGCAGCGATGGATGTCAACTAGTTCTCAGGAAAACCGGGGGTGGGGTGGTGGGGGTGGCAGGAAGGGCAGGTGAAGTAACTCCAGGAGCACAGCCCCTGGGGGAGGAGAAGGGGGCAGGCATGTCCCCTGCCCCAACAGACCTCCACTCCCTTATTGCCAGGGAGGTCAAATAACCGTCTGCTGACCCCTGACCCAGCCTCTGTGTCCACGCTGGGCGCTGGGGCCTCTGTGCTCTTGTGAAGAGAGGAGGGGAGGGGTGGAGAGGCAGAGGGGGAGGCCACCGCTGAGGCCCAGGGCCTCCTCTGCTGGAGACCCGTGCTGTGGGCCACACCAGGTCCCCACCAGGCCAGCCCGAGGAGGCCCCAGGGAAGGACACAGATGAGAGGTTTCTACATCAGGCCTCCCTCACGTGAGGTCAGAAATTGCTCACCCAGAAGTGGGGGTGACACAGCTGGTGGTCAGGGTGGCGATGGGGTCGGGCCCAGAAGGTGCAGGGACAGGGACAGTGGCATCTCAGGAAGTGGTGGTCTCCGCCGGAGGGTCTGCCACAGGGAGGTGGTGGGTGGCAAAGCTGCTGCTCCTGGAGCTGAGATGCCCGGCCGTCCCGGCAGTGGCTGCGTGGCTCCTGCCCACCCTCTACCCAGGAGACAGGACACGGTGTGCTGCTGAGCTGGCCCTCCATCCACAGGCCACCGGTGGCTCCATTCCTAGCTCGTTGGAAGGATGGTTGACAGGACCCAGGGGGAGAGAAGCGAGTTCAGGACGCCCAGCTGCCTCCAACCCAAGCTTTCAGGCAGCACATGATGCGAAAGCTTGGAGAGGCCCGGGGGACATGTCAGTGTCCTGTGGCTTCTGCACAAGTGACCACAGATGGGGTCTGAAAACAACAGAAATCCATTCTCTCACAGTCTGGAGGCCAGAAGTCCAAACTCAAGGTACCACAGGGCCGTGCTCCCTCCGGAAGGTCTAGGGGCGGCCCCTCCCCGCCCCTTCCCGCCCCTCGTGAACCAGGAGTCCCTTGGCTTGTGGCCACGTCACCTTAGTTTCTGCCTCCGCTGTCACATGGCCTCTCTGTGTGTCTGTGTCCAGACTTCTCTCTTACGGGATACCAGTCATATGGATTTAGGCTACCTTAACCCAGCATGGCCTCATCTTAACTTGATTCCATCTGCAAAGACCGTATTTCCAAACAGGATCACTTTCACAGGTCCCCAGTGGACACAAATTTGAGGGGAACACTGTTCAATGCCCCCCCAGTATCCCCAAAACTAAGTCTCTGCTTGACTTATGTTCCCCACAGGAGGAGTGCCCAAGATGGCCCCCACCCCCTCAGGATTGGTTGGCTGCCCCCTCTGGGCACACTGTGGGGGGCAGGGTGCAGGCTTGCTCTCCTGGGAATTCAGAAAGCACCCCAGCCCTATCTACAGGAGAAGCCAGGAGGGTGGTAGGGTGGAGGGGGGGGCTGGGAGGCGGCTTTAGACCAGCCAGGAAGGCTTCTCCAGGGTGGGGGGACTGCCAGAGCAGAGCCTGAGGGTCACCGGGTGCTGCCGCTTGGTGAGGGGCGAGCAGCAGAGGCAGACGCCTGAGCTGAGGACACCGGGACGAGGAAGGACCTGTGTGGCTGATGGAGAAAGTTGGGGGTGGAGGGAAGGCAGGGGCCACAAGAGTGACAAGGTTCAGTAGGAATTCTGGGAAAGGGTGGCTGTCCAGGAGAGAGGTGGGGGCTGGGATGGGGCTGGGGAATAGCGTCACTGTCTCTCACCAGCACCCCCCCCCCCCCCCCCCCCGTGCCCTCTGGTTTTCGGGCTCCTGGAGTGGGGGCTGGAGGTTGTGCTGGACGGAGCCTGCTGGCCTCCTGCAGGGTCTGGCCTTTGACACCCAGCCCTCTGCAGTGGAGAGAAGGTGCCCTGAGGGGCCACTGGTGACCCCCATTCGTGCACTGGCGAGTGGACCCCAACACGCCTGCTTGCTGCCCTACGATCCTTCAATGTTTCCCAGGCAACTGACTCATTCCAGCCCATCTCGCACACCCACCAGTGCCACTGCCTGGCTCCGGTCAGGCTTGCCTGTTGGCGCACGGGCCGGCAGGTGTGGCTGAGTGTGGCTGCTGCCCGCCGCGTCAGGAGGCCGGCTCCAGGGAGGGGGCGGCCCTCCCTCGAGGCCGTCCTCGCCCAGCAAGCGGGCCCGGGCAGGGCACCCTGAGTGGGTGCTGTGCTGTCCTGCCCCCTGGCAAGAGACAGTGGCAGCCCCACACTGTGAGCACGTGCCCGCCAGTGGCCGCGGGTTCCACTTGGCATTGGAAGGGACTGGTCCTGTCTGCCAGCCTCAGGCTTTGCTCTGTCCACCCATGTCATCTGACCCCATCTGCAGGGTGGCCTGAAGGCAGAGACAACCCCAAGTAATCAAAGGAGATGGCAGGGAAGCCAAGTGGGCTTGGAAGCCCAGCTAGGACACCTGTGCCAGGGACAGGGCCCCGACTCTGGAACATGTGTCTTGGAGGACAGGGGCATCTGGTTCATCACCTAGAGATGTGTCACATAGTGGGGGCCGAGGCCCAGCACCCGCTGTGCCCATGTCCACATGGTGGGGCCCCATCCCCCCACCACCCAGCACCATCTGCCTGGGGGCGGGTTGGGGGCGCCTTCTCCAAAACGCTGAAATGTCTTTGTAAACATGGCTTTTGGTTCGTGAAAACTTGTGTCTCCGCAGTGCCAGCGGCGGTCCCGATCAGAAATGATTTCCCAATAAAGCTCCACTGCTTGTCACCACAGCAGACGGCTCGGAGAACATGAGCCTCTCCACGAAGTTCAACTTTGAAACTTCCTCCAGGCCCACCATGGCCTCCGCGTCTCACTGGTGACGCCGGGATAGCTAGGAAAGGTGGGCCTGTCGGGGTGCAGGCCACTTCCAGAAGGTCCAGGTGCAAGGGGGGTGGGGGGGCAGCTGTCGGAAAGCAGGGCGGAGAGGATGGGGGGCTTCCTGACGGGCGTGGGCATCTGCCATGCGCCTGGCGCAGGGTGGCCCCAGCTCTGTTCTCTGAGGAGGCATCCCAGGCTGTCGGCCCTGGTGGTGAAGGGGTGGGGGAGGGGTTAATCCCTAGCAGCCGGATGAAACCAGAGGAGAAGCTCCCAAGAGGACGACTTTCGTAAGTCCTGAGGGCACCTGGTCCCCCAGGGCCTCTGTTCCACCAGTTGCCACAGGCCTGGCCTGGGGTCCAGGTCCCCTCTTCTGGCAGCCAAGGTAAATGAGGCCCATTGGGGTGGCTAAGGCCAAGGAGAGTGGGTGACCCTGCCCCCCTTCTGTGCCAGGCCCTGACAGTCATCCAGGGCCCTGCACCACCAGGGGCTCCTGCCCTCAGGCCAGCCCAACCTCCTAGGTCCACCTGAGACCCTTCCCTGTTCCTGCCATTCTCGGGCAGGGAGCTGGCCTTGCAAGGTCTGTAGATGAAGGGGCTGGGAGAGGCTGGGAGGGGCGGGAGTGCCCCGGACGCGAAGGCCCCAGTGCTTGGTTCCGGCCCTGCCTAGAATCTGCTGCTCACACAGGTGTCCCCACAGCTTCCTAGCATGGCCCGGGCGCTGGGCACACACTAGCTGTCTGAGGCCTGGCGGGGCCTTCCTTTGCCTCGGGGAGGCCCGGCGACCCCAGACACAGCTGTTTGGGAGTCGTAAGTCAGCTGGCACCTGCAATGTGCCAGACCCAGGAGCCCCTACAACCAGGAGCAGGCCCAGCCACAGGTCAACTCCTCCAGGGGCCCCCGAGACCACCTGCTACGGCAGCTCGGTTGGTTCACACACGTAGGGTCTGTTTTCCAGCAGTTGGGGGGCTCTGGGGGTGAGGACCCTGTCTTGTCCCCCTGGTGGTCTCAGCATCTAGACCAGTCCCTGGCACCGGCGGGTGCGAACATCCTGCCCCCACTCTGGAGGGCTGTACTGGCAGCTGACGAAGGGCGACCTCCGTGCCACAGGAGGACAGCTGCTCATCTGGGTGGCCTCCACTCAGGGATGGGGGCCCTGGGCTGGAGTGTGCTACGGGGTGGGAGGTGCCAGGACTGTGGGCTGGGAGGAGGCGGGACAGAGACGTGAAGAGGGGCTGAGGTGAGGTGGCTGGAACAGTGCTGTGGGAGCCCCTGCAAAAGGGGGTGCAGAACAGAGCCCCAAAGCTGCAGGGTCCCAGCACCCTGAGTGACATCTGCTTGTGGCCCACGGAGAGGAGCTGCCTGCCACCCAGCCCCCCGCACACCCTGGCCTGGGAGGGTAGGGTCACCCCAGAGCCCACCCCAGGGCCCACCTCGTCCCACCTCAGAGCCCACAGGGCACAGGTTCTGCAGGGTCAGGGGTGGCCAAGGGTGCCTGGGCATCTGCTGCCACCAAGTGGCAGATCGAGTGGTGGCTCCAGGAGACGGCTGAGGCCCAGGGTATCAGAAGAACTCTTCACAGGAGCCCCGCCCCCAGGCCCCAAGCCCAGGACCACGGCCAATTACTGGACTTTGTCACCTCATTTCTCCTTAATTAAGGAAACCAGGTTCCTCCCTTTTGTAAGGACACAGCGATGGTCCTGGGAAGGGCAGCTGGGGTCTGCAGAGCTGGGAGCTGAGGCTCAGGGCTGTTCTGGCAGCAGGGGCTTGGCAGCCGCGGGTGGGCTCTAACTGGGAGGGGGGCTGTGGCGGGGACCCCCTAGTGTGACTTCCTGCCCAGCTCCTCCTCCTCAGAGACCTCTGCAGACCCCAGGCCTGCGGGGTGACAGCGGTAGGAGGGGCCTCCGCGACCACACCCTCATTAGCTGGAAAATGGCTCCTTCAGGGCGAGTCCGCCTTCCCTTCAGCCCCACCTCTGTGGTGGAGGAACGAACCCCGGCCTCGGTGTCCCCAAAGGTTGGGGTCAGGACCCCTGCTCTGATAGTGTCACAAAGGGGAGGTCACCTCATGGCCTCAGGAACAGGCCGTGGGGTCCCTCGAGGGTCGGGATCCAGAGCGCAGGCGGGGAAGGTCGGGTCAGGTTGGGCTGGGGGTACCGGT